CTGGTTTGGCTGTAGGGCCATTTTTCGCCCTCCGGAACCTTCAGGAGGCTTCCCTGAAGGCTCCGGAGGGCGAAAAATGGCCCTACAGCCAAACCAGAAGCCTCCAAGAGGGGGCAGGCTGTTTTTGCCCTCCCCAGGCTCCTAAAAAGCCTCTGGAGCCTGGGGGGGGGGGCGTGAAAAATGGGTCCATTGCAGGCTGAAAGCATTTGGGAGGAGGGTGGGGGTCACGCGTGCATGCGTGTGCGGATCGCACGCATAGCATTTAGGTGTGGGCACACCCGTGCACACACACCCCCGCGCTCCTCCTGCTTTTGGCACGTGACGGGGAAAAGGTTAGCCATCAACTGTCTTAGATGCAGCAAAAAGTATAGAAAAAACGCCCCTAAAAATCGAGTTGCAAAAAATTAAAAAGTGAAACGTTTTCCCTTTTACCTGGAAAGTGAGGTATTTTGTGCAGGAAAATACAAGGTTTAAGCTTTTCGTACGGCGAGGAGCAGAGCACAGAGGCAGGAACCATCCGGCAATATGAAACTCGTTGCTAAATTGCTGAATTCTGGGGGTGGCCATAAATACACTTCCTCCTCGTGAAATATTATATGACAGGAACAAGAGACAGACTGTCTCGCCTCGTCTGAATCGATCTTGGTGACTACGACCCAACTGCAGATATGAAATCTTCATGGCACTTCCCAGGAGAAGTTTGATCAAAACAAGTCCGTAACTCAAAAGGAAGTTATGACTAAGCTGTCTGGGGAACTGAGGTACTTAGTTGTCCTCGACTTACGACGGCAATGGAGACCAGCATTTCCTTTGCAATGAGAACTTTTTACAGGTAGTACTTGACTTATCACCACAATTGAGCGAGCCCAACATTTCTGAGCGAGACAAAGGTCAAGTGAATTTGGCTCCGCTTTACGACCTTTCCTGCCACGGTTGTTAAGTGAATTGCTGCCGTTAGTTAAGTTAGTTGTGCGATTGTGAAGTGAATCTGACTTCCTCATTGAGGCTGCTTGTCAGAAGTTCGCAAAAGGGGATCAAGTGACACCCTCCCCCCCCTGGGGACACTGAGACTGTCATAAATATATGGCAGTTGCCAAGCATCTGAATTTTGATCACGCAATGCTGCTCAGGGGATGCTGCAATGGTTGAAAGAAAGAAAGAAAGAAAGAAAGAAAGAAAGAAGGAAGGAAGGAAGGAAGGAAGGAAGGAAGGAAGGAAGGAAGNAAGAATGGGATGGACGGAAGAGCAGAGTAGAAGAGAGCAGAATAAACAGAGCTGGAAGGGATCTTGGAGGTCTTCTAGTCCACCCCCTGCTCAAGAAGGAGGCCCTGTACAAGGAGTGCCCAACTTTAAGACTTGTGCACTTCAACTCCCAGAATTCCCCATTCAGCAGAGCTGGTGCCAGAGCCCCCCTTGGTGAGAAACTGCCGGGCACCTGGGTTGGCACCGTTGCCCCTTCTCTTTCCACAGGCTGGAACCTGCCCGCCTTCCTCTCCGTCCTCATTGCCCTGGGGAACATCGGCCCGGTGAGCGTGGCCCTGGTCCACCGCTTCGCCCCCAAGAGGCTGAAGGAGCAGGGCCTGATCCACGCCATCCAGGCCACGGCCATAGCCACGGCGGTGCTCCTCGCCCTCCTGTGGGACCGCACCGCCCTGGTGGCCGGGGAGCCGCGCAGCGTGGCCTTCCTGGCGCTGGCCTTCCTGCTGGCGCTGGCCTGCTGCACCTCCAACGTCTCCTTCCTGCCCTTCATGTACCAGTTCCCCCCGCTCTTCATCCGCTCCTTCTTCATCGGGCAGGGCCTGAGCGCCCTCCTGCCCTGCGTGCTGGCCCTGGGGCAGGGCGTGGGGCAGCTGGAGTGCCTCAACAACACCTGGGGGAACGCTTCCCAGCCCCGCTACCTGCAGGAGAACTTCTCCGCCGGCACCTACTTCTGGCTGCTGGTGGCCCTCCTGGCGCTCTCCGCCCTGGCTTTCCTGGCGCTGGTGCTCTGGCAGGGCCGCCAGGGGCCCCCGGGAGACGGGGCCCCTCCCGAGGAGAGGAGGGACCCGGAGGAGGAGGAGGCCTTCCCCTTGCGTGACGACAGCGACCAGGCCTTGCGTGGCGGCACTGCCGAGGGGGCCCCCCGTGGCAGGGACCCGGCCCCTCCCCTGAGCTTCTGGACGGGCAGGAACCTCTACCTGCTGGGCCTCCTGGGGGTCTCCAACGCCCTGACGAACGGGGTGCTGCCCTCGGTCCAGAGCTACTCCTGCCTGCCCTACGGCAACACCGCCTACCATCTCTCGGTCGTCTTCGGCAACATCGCCAACCCCGTCGCCTGCTTCGGCGCCATGTTCCTCCTGTGTCGGTGAGGCTCGGGGGGCTGCTGGCTGGGGAGGGGGCAGCTACGCTCCTCTAGCAAGGGAGGAGAAGGCAGCGGGAGGGGCTGTTCCCTTGTCCTCCCCCCTCGGCCATCGCCTCTTGGTCTCCCTGGGAGGGTCAGCACACAGAGGGTTTGGGAGGGGGGTGTGGAGCCTGCCTGGGCCTGGCACAGACCCCTCCCCAGCCCTCCGTTCTCTCTCCCTCTTCCAGGTCATCCCTGGTCCTCAGCCTCATCTCAGCCGCCGGCTGCGTCTTTGGGGTCTACCTGATGGTGCTGGCGGCCCTCAGCCCCTGCCCCCCACTGCTAGGCAGCCACGCGGGGGTGGCTCTTGTGGTGAGTGGAGGGCACCGAGGATGGGGGGGCAGCTGCCACGTGGTCTTCCTTCCCCCCCCCCCCCACCAAGCCTTTCCTCTCCAAGTCCTCCTT